CTTCATTTTTTACAGTTTTAATCTCGTGGAATTCATATACTGCATACTACAGGTTATAATCTATGTAACCCCATTGAAATTGGAGTGTAGGGTATTAAAAGATGCATATGTATATGTACATGCCTCCTTAATCGTTTTGCATTTTTCATTTTGTGTGCTTGGGGCCACACTTTCTACTTGGGAGTAAAATTTTGATCAAACGTGCAACAGTTGCTCAACATTTGTAATTTAATATCTCAACAACACCGCTAGCGGCGCTTAACGGTTAGCGCAGGTAAACATTTAATTAACCGTAAACTTTGAGGGCAGTCTCACAAAATATTCCCACGCCTAGAAAACGCAAACATAAATATACACACACGCACACACATATACTGGCGCAGCTATTGAAAATAGCTCATTTACAAATTTTACAAATTCGCAGAAACAATAACAGAACAATTGGCTTGCGGTTTTTTATTACATTTTGCTTTTCAATCACTTCGGCCAGCATTTCCAAGCAACAGCAGGAGGAGCAACAACAACGACAATTCGATATCAGCCATGCAGCCCATGCCCAGCCCGTCAGCCGCTTATTAATGAATTAAAAATGATTATCGGACTCACAACAACAAGCAACCAAATGATCGCAGGCCCAAACACACTTACACACTTACACACTATACACTCACACACACACAGTCATGCACACGCACAAACATTGAAAATGTATGCAGAGCGTAATTGTACAAAAAAATGCCGTTTGGTGCGTTTCTTTGCATGACTCAGTGTTAACAAACGGAAAAAACAGTTAAATGCCTTTTCCAGGCGTTTTGTTGTTGGTGTTTTTGCATTTTTTTTACCGTATGCTGTGCTTGCAGCTTGTAATTTGTACATTTCACTGAACATTTGCTATTTGCATTGAAACTACCGCAGCAACAAAAATGCTTTGTTGCTGTATTTGTGTGGGTCAATAAACTTACAGCACGCCAAATACGCTTTGAGGGCGGCGATTTTATAAGCCATCCTTCGTGGAATGTACTATCCATTATTTATTTATGCGCACGATTATTTAAAACAAAATATATTGCTTTGATTTTTCACTGTCCGCACACAACACAACGCACCAACACACTCGTGCATTTATTTTCATTATTTTAGTATCTTCTTAACAGCAATTCAACTTTAACATATGAACGTAATGTTACTTAACAGTGGAAACCAAACAGTACATTTACTGCCTACACAAAAGAGCCAACTATGTTACCATTTGGAAGGTCACAGTATTATTAAACATTTATTAAATATGACTAATAGTTTTAGTGGTCATTTTAACTCAACAGCTGTGTATAACCGAATAATCACTGTAACTTAACAGCAACCAGTCGATGTTTCTACATTCGTGCTTATCGAATCTGGTTACCCACAATTTAATCCGATATAAAAGTCATATCGATAATCCAATGTGATACACAGTATAATTTGACTACAACGAACATGCTCATTATATGTTACCTCTATTTGATTAAGCCTATTTACTATTAATTAAATATATGTAATAAGAAAACAAGTCTTTTATTTAGAAATAAATTTTATTCCGTCGCGTCAATTGCATGTTAACCACATACAGCTTTCCCATATACATATGCACAATTATACTGAACAGCGCAACACAGTAAAGCATTACGCCGATTTCAGACGGAACGTACTCCTCCAATTCTTGTTTATTTGTCCTTGCTGTCGCCCTTACCACCACGAATCCTACCAGTACGACGGGCAGCGATGAGACCGACCTTGCGACCAGCGGATGTGCCACGCTTGACTGTGGATGCCTTACCAATATGTTGATGGTTACCACCACCGTGGGGATGTTCCACAGGGTTCATGGCAACACCACGCACCTTAGGCCAGCTGTTACGCTTCACCTTGTACTTGTGGTAGGCACGACCGGCCTTCAGGATGGGCTTGTCAATACGACCACCGCCGGCAACGATGCCGACCATAGCGCGATTTGCCGATGGGACGACCTTCTTGGCACCCGATGGGAGCTTGACACGGGTCTTCTTGGTATCGGGATTGTGAGCGATGACGGTGGCGTAGTTGCCAGAAGTACGAGCCAAACGGCCGCGATCACCGGTCTTCTCCTCCAAATTGCAGATGATGGTACCTTCAGGCATCTGGCTAAGTGGCATTACATTGCCAATCTGCAGGGTAGCCTTACGGCCGCAGTAGACGAACTGGCCAGTGTGCATGCCTTCGGGGGCGATGAACATCTCCTTGCGGATCTTGTAGCGATAGGGATCACGGAAGTGAACGACAGCCAAGGGTGCGCCACGACCGGGATCGTGAACGATATCCTAAAAATAACAAACAAATATGCAATCAGTCATATCCATGTGCTGTTGTTGCCATATCTAACAAAAGCTTACCTTGACGACGCCGCGAATGTAGCCAGAGCGCTCGGCAAAGTCCAGAGAACGCAGCTTGGCGGCTCCCTTGCGCTTCTTGACGTGCGCCTTGAAGACGGAACCGGCGCCTTTACGCTGTGCACGAATTACACGACCCATTTCTATAAATTGCAAGAAAATCAAATTAATGTTTTGCACCGACCAAAATGAGTCATTTTTGTTTAACAAGACTGCAATATTTTACAAATATGGCATGCATACGGAAGCTTAAGCCACATTTCAAACTATTTGTTTATTATTTATTTGCGATGTTGCAGTTTGGTTTATTAATTTTACGATTATCATTTCAGCGGTCGACACCTACCGATGCTCGGGTAAAAAAGAAAAGAGAGAAGAGGAAGACATAAGCATATTGTCAAAGTTTGACACTTAGCGCTGCCAACTTCACACTGTTTTCCGTCAGCTGTTCAGTGTTGCTAATTCAGTTGAAGTTATCGTTAATCGGTTTTAAGAGCTCCCACTGTTAAATCGAAAACAGTCAATTTGAATTGCAGTTGATTTTTATTTCTTTTTTTTTGTTTTTTTTTAATTTTCAGATTATATATATAATAATTTTTTTTTTATGATTTAGATTTACATTCATTTAATCATCAATTTACTTGTTTTATTTTAGAAATAAAGTAAGCATTTTATTACTAATTCTGTTTGTTTTTTTTTTTTAAATTGCATTGTAGTGCATTTTGTTTAAAGAACATTATTAAATATATGTGGGGGACATGGGGTATACATTTATTTATTTTATTTTATTTTTTTTTCATTTCTTTTATAACACAAAACAAACAAATATTTAAATATTTTTTTCTGCATTTTTCAATTTCATTTTCAACTTAAAACAAAAGAGAATAATTCATACATTTTTTTATTATTTTTCTTTAGCAATAATCGCCAGTTTAATTTGACATATGTATGTATGTGAGTGTGTGTGTGTGTGTGTGGGAGTGTATTGCAGCAGGCAGTTTATAGTGTGCCGATTTGCTAGAGAATGTAAATGTGAATATTTATATATTGCAACGTAGCCATATTTAATAATTAAACTTTATAACTCTCTCAAAAAAACAAATAGAAATCAAAAAACAATACAAACGAAATGCACAGCACACAAAAGCCGAGCTTATCAATCAATCAATTAATCCATCAACATCTAATTGAATTCGTTATTTTTCCAATTTTAACATGCTAGCTTTTATTAAATTTTTTATAGAATTTCGTATTTTTTTAAGTTTGTTTTTTGTTTTTGTAAGTTCTGTATAAAAGTTCGGTAAAAAATGCTGCTTAACTAGTTTCATCTTCGAATTGCCCTTATTCAATCTTGTTTTCAGTTGTCTTTCAAATGTGACATGGATTCTGACTTATCAATCGATCAATCACTCAATCAATTGTCTCATAATTAGCTTCAAAAATGTACGTTAAGCATATATATATATATTTTTTTTATTTTTTTGTTGCTGTTGTCTGTGTTGCTTGCTGTTTTAGAAATTTTTTTGTTTATTTTATATTTTACACATTTACTCATGAATCATAATTTGTTTTTAATTTTTGCTTTTTTCCAGCTTTCTCTATATTATTATTTACTTTTGCTTTTGTTTATCACTTAGTTTTTACAATGGCGCTTTTTTGTTTTTGTTTATATTTTTATTTTCATAAAAAATGAGCAGACACATTAATTTATAATTTGATATAAATGTAAATGTTTTGTTTTTTATTTTTTGTTTTTTTTTTTTGTTTTTGTTTTTGTTTTTTTTTCGCACGCACATTAAAAAATAAATTCAAAATGTGAAAGAAAACTAAATTTGCAATTCGTAAAGTTTTCTTCGCAGCTTTTGCCTTGGCTTGAACTTAAGTTTAACTTGCGGGCACAAAAAATATATATAATAATATAATATAAGTAGAAAAAACAATATATATATATATATAAAGATATATATATGCACACAAATTTAAAATGACATTTTAAATGAAATTGTTTTGTATGTGCATAAATTACTTGGGGGCATTTGCTTTTCTTACTTTTCGTTTTACTTTTCTTTCTTCTCATATTTTTTCTTTAGTTATGTAAAATACATATGCATATGTATGTGTGTATATGTGTTGCTAATCAAACGTGTGTGTAGGTGTGTCTAATAAACAACTTTGTGTTTTAAGAAAATTAAAAACCTCGACGAGTGAGCTTGGGGAAAATATTGTTGTCTGTCGCCTTTAACACATTCTTCTTCGTCCTCCTCTTCTTCTTCTTCTTCTGTTTGCTTATTTTGTTTATAATTATTATTACATTGTTTAACGCTCGCTTAAAATTGTACACTCCCATTTATAAGAGTTACATTTGTAAATTTTTATAGCACATTTACTAATTGAAACGTTTTTCCTTTTGCTGAACTTTGATTCATAAGCACATTTTGAAGTGTGTATTGTGTGTGTTTGTGTGTGTGGTGTGTGTCTGTGTGTGTAATATGTATAGGATGTTATTTTTCACTTAAAAATTATGCACTTTTTACTTAAACGAGCTAAATGTGTGTGTGTGTAGATCTCTGTGTAGATATTTGTTTTTGTTTTTCCTTTCGTTTTTGTAAGTTGTAAAATAAGTAGAAAATGTGGTTGTTGTTGTTGTTCAGTTGCCAAAATAAAAAACAAAGAAGTGGGTTGAGGGTCTGCCCGACGGCCCTTTACCAATTGGCCATGCCCGGCTTGTTGAGCGTCATGAAATAGATTTGACACGATGAAGCACCTTTGGCACTGCTGAAGAATACTTTGTCATTGCGCTCGCAAAGGAATTTCAAGCGTTGCGCCTTCTTGTGCATGAACACACCATCCAAATGGCCGCTCTCAACGGAACGTATCTGTAAGCAGAAACGGTGTGCATGAGTTTATCGAGTATTCACTGTATTTAGTTTATGTGTGACGCACCTCTATTGCTTTGTTGCCCCAGCCCATAATTTGTCCAGTGCCAATGTAGGCCACCGAGGTAGGCATTTCACCCCACTGCAAAGGGAGAGCGGGACGGTTTATATAGATATACAAATTGGGCATGGAATACAGATGTAAATACAGTGAACACTCTATGCAGGAACAGCATTTTGGAATACAGTGAAAGGTCTATACAGCAACATTAAGATTTGTTGCCTTGATGAACTTAAGCAAAATTCTACAAATTGCCTTTCTCTTACAGCCAGTGTTCACTGTACATATCATGCCAAATACTTGCCTGCAGCACAATATTCTTGGATACACGACCGGCAGTATTCACATAGACGCCTTCATTGTCATAGCACAAAAGGAGTTGCATGCCATTTGAATTTGGAAGCGCCACGATACAATGGGGAATGATTGCACCCTGAGTCTGTATGTAAGGAATACAAAATTCGGTACAGGGCACAGCCAGTTGGTTAACCAATGCCACTTACATGCTTAGGAAGATATATATCGTATACTTCAGCTGAATCTAAATCAACCGCATGGAAACCTTCAGCAGAACCATAAATCACTTTCAGTCTCGACTGATCCTCAATTGTGAGATCGACCAAAAGCGGGCGATGTTCCAGTTCACCAAAATTCTACAAAATAACATGAAATTGTTAGATTGGCATTTGATATATATATATATATACAAGTGATCTCACCTTAAATGCCATAAATTTGTGATATGGTTTGGGCGCCCATGCATAAATTTCAATTGAGTCTTTTAATGCAATCACTAGGAACTTAATCCTTTCGTATTTGACAATCTTAAAATGTACAGCACCTTGTAGATCACCCACATTTATCCAGCCATTGCGACGCTCCACTTGCTGTGGGTTTAAAGAGACCGATTACAAGAATTAGTTGTGGCAATTGGAACAATACAAAGTTTACATTACGTGCTAGACTTGAAACTAAAACGGGACTTTATATTACATTAAAACATTGTTTTGTATGCTTAGAAGTTAGCTGTACTTAAATACCTCATATGATATAGTCGTTCGATTAGATCGATCTTCTGAAGATATGCTTCAAATTACATATAATAATTGTAATTAAATTTGCTGACAGTTTGCCAAATAGCTCAAATTTTGATAGCAAAACATGTTTCATGATCGCAAACGATCTATTCTAGGTATATGATATAATAGTTTCGGTTTGTACATATTACTGAAGCACAAAATGTTTATAAGAAAATAGATCGTCTCTATATAGTGAACCGATCTGTACTACATATACAGAAGTACGAACTGCTGCAAAAGGAAGTCTACAATAGAATCTATTTCGGCTAACGCTTCGTCTGTTTACAAATATAGAAAATATATATACTCCACAAACTATCATAATACTAAATATTATATTCCATCTATAAAGCTATGCCATCTTAGCTCTGCTCCACTCACATCGGAGAGTCCATCGGTGCGCAAGATCTTCGACTTCAGCCAGGATAAATAATAGACGCGCACGCGATTCTTTTTGCCCGATATGGTGACCAATATGTTTTGGCCCTCTAGCACCTCCATTTGCTGGAAACGGCGACGCGAGATGAGCTGATATACCTGCACAGAGTAAAGACTTCATTAGTAGTCATCTATATATGTATGAGCACTCTTTGCTAACCTTGCCCTGTCCGGAGCGATCGAGCAGCATGAGTCCATTCTCCGTGCCAATTAGCAAATTGACACCCCAAAGAGCGGCGCACAGGATCTCCGAGTTGAAACGCTTTTTATACTTACGAATTTCGGGCGTATCGTTGGCCGCCTCGTGGGATGTGGGCGTGACATTGACATTGACCGTCGACTCACGACGCGTCGGTCCAGAGCCGCCAGCGCCAAAGCCAAAGGTGAGAAAACTGCGTTGTTTCTGTTGCAGCGCGTACGCATGCGGCGGCAAGTGATTGGAGGCGTTCGTTGTGGTTGTGGTTGATGTGGATGATGTTATCGTTGAGTTGGGTGTCAGGTGTAGAATGTTCGCAGAGGAGGAAGAAGCAGATTTATGCAATAAATTAGTAATACTGCTGGAAGAACGCGTTTTACTTATCGAATTCTTTGGCGAGTTTTGTCGCGAATTCGATTTGGATGAGGCCAGCGAGATGGTTGATTGTGGTGAATTATTAGCGCTAATAATTACACCACCGACAACGCTGCCGCCGCCATGGCCATGGCCGCCAACGCCGACGTTGACGTTGGCGGCGCTGCTGCTGACGATGCAGCCGCCGATGCCGCTGCCGCTGCCGCTGCCGACGCCGCTGCTAGCGATAAACGATTTCGATGGCGTGGAATGCACGGATGAGCTAATGGCCGCTTGATACTTTATTTGATTGATTGATTGATTGATTGATTGTTTGTTCGATTGATTGATTGATTGATTTATTCATTTGTTTTCGTTTCGTTCGTTCGTTTTTGGTTTTAAAAAAGAAAAGAAAATAGAAAAAGTGCAAGAAAAAAATTTCAATTAGTCTTCGAGTTGTCAAAAAATTAAAATTAATTAATTAATCATGCTAAGGGGTAGGGGTGGGTGTTCGTGTATATGTGTGTGTGTGTGGGATGGTTAAATATTGAGCAATAATTAAAATTAAAAAAAAAAACAATAGCCAAAAATATTTATAAATATTTGCATTAATGTAAACAGAGCTGAGAGAGAAATGTTAACAAACATAAAATGTGTTTAGTCTTTCCCCAGAGGCCAATCGTAAATAAAAAACTTTATAAACAAAAGTTTATATATTGATTTGTAAGTGTGTGTGAGTGTGTACATATGTCTGTGTGTGTAGAAAAACAATAAGAATGTAGAGGAGTAGCGTCCTCTGTAATGTGTCTGTAATGTGTACAGAGCGTTAACGGCGTGACAGCAAAACGAAATGTTAGTTACAGTGACAGTGACATGAGGCTGCCTGCTATGCAACGCAACGTGAAATGTAGTATAGTGAGAGAGCGAGAGAGTGACAGAGACAGAGACAGAGACATTGCGATCACAGTGGAGCGCAACTAATAAAAACAATCAGAAACATATATTTGAATATATACAACGACAAGAGACTTTAAAGTAGCATTCGGGTGCGAAAAATTATATAAATATATATAGAATTAAGGAAGCCCTGCACATTTAATATATTATGTACAATATCACATGACACATTTGGAAATAATAATAAAAAACTTTACACAAAAGTTTGGTAGTTGGGAATTTTTTTTTTTTTTGGTAGATTTTTAGACAGAGTATTTTTTTGGTATATTTTGAGAGCTATTGCTGTTGTTTGTTGGTTTGTTTGTTGTTTTTCATACTTACTATTGTAAATTTTTGGTTTGTTTGTAATTGATTTGTATTTTGTAATTTGTTAGAATATATCGTAGTGGCCATCAGCTCAAACGTTGCGGAAAGACAAAGCACAATTAAGAAGAAGAAAGTTTTTGTAACGTTTTTTTTAAATCTGGTTAAAATTTAAATTAATTTTCGGTTTTTTGATTGATTTAATAAAAGGACATGCACTTGTGAAAGTTGCGATTCGCATGCACATTTCTTGAATTTTCAAATTTAATATTCTTCGCATTCGATCTATTTTTAAATGCAATTTTTTTTTGGTTTTACGCGCTCTTCATAATGAACTTTGCTCCACGTCAAAGAAACATATTTATACGCTAAGATATTCTTATTGGATTAGTCACATTGTAAGTGTTAGATCATATTGAAATGGGTCAGTATAATTTGTTTGTTTAAAGCACAAAACGAAAAAACATATAAGAAAAAACAACTAAAGGACAATTTTAAAGAATATATTTTCGAGAGAAAAAACAAAACAATTCATTAAATTGTATTCAATTTTTTTTAATTGAGATCAATTGCTATAAAAACTAAACTCACTGTAACAGGGGCTTTTGTTAACAGAATGCTCTATGCGTTTTCTGTTACGCTTACAGAATGTTAAATGTGTACTTCGCAGACGAAATCTGTTAGGCAGCATGTTATGTGCTTGAGATACGATTTCTGTTAGATTAACAGAATGTTAAGTGCTTAATAAGCGAAAATGTAATTGAATTCATGATCTCAATCAAGTTGATTGAACGATTAAATATAATCAGACATTTATGACATAGACGATGTGTGACGCGTTTTATAGCTGCATTTATTCTTTCGATAATGCACAAAAAAAAAAAACAATAATAAAAACACAAATAACAGTAACTAAAAAAAGTCAAATAAACTAAAGTTGAACGCACAAAACACACAATGAAAAAATCGAATCATTCGATGTAGGTATAAGCCATACGTAGATATGGCTGCTGATGGTATTGTATGCGCTACTCACCTCCTCACTGGATGATTTATCGTGGCGCGGAGGCGTAGCCGGCGACGCCTGGCTAAGCAGATCGGGCAGAACGCTGCTGGTGCGTGTGCCGGGGGTGCCAAGGCCGCTGTTATCCCCGCCAGCTCCACTGCCAGCTACTCCACGGTTCTATCAAAGCGAGACAGAGAAAGAGAGAAAGAGTGTACGTGTGAGAGAGAGATGGCGTAAGACACATGAGAAAAGTTTGCAATCAAAAGTTTTGCTTTTTTAATGGAGCTCATAAATTGGTTGAAATCGAAATGAAATAAACAAAAACAAAAAAAAACGAGTAAATGAATGTTATATAAATGCTTTGAAAAAGGTAACACAAAAGTAACAAAGGTAAAAGGTAATGAATAAACAACAAATTTAAAGAGTCAAAGAGAAAGAGACAGAGAGAGAGAGAGCGAGAGAGAGAAATAGACAGTGTCAGATAGAAAGAGAAAACTAAATGAATGCCAATGAGATACTTAGGTATACTAAGAGACGCCTACAAAGTCTTCTCTTTAACAACCTTTTTCAATACAAAAGCTTACAAACTAAAACATTTAGTTTCTAGAGCTGCAAGTTCTGTTGCACATATACATACATACATAGGCACTTATAATTAATTACGGGAAGTTTTTTGGTTTCATTTTTCGTTTTTCACTTTTGCAGCAGGCAAAACGTTGCTCAATTTTGCAAAACATCACAGAAAATGTTGCTTTTGCTTTTTTGGAGTTTTTTTCTTTGTCAAAAACTTTTCATTGAAGTCTAACCAAACCAAGAAAACTTTTTGCACATCAAATTAAAAACAAAAAGCTTGAAAATTACATTTTAAAGCAAATAAAATGAAAATGAATGCAAAAGCTAAAGCAGCAAATAGAAAACATAGAGAAAAGTTAAGACTCAGCTAAAAGGGAAACTGGATAAGTCTATATAGCCCCTATATATTCTATATTTAATGTGTATTGGTTGTCTAGAGATCCTAACAAATGAAAAATATATTAAATCAAGTAAAACTTCAATATAAATCATATCTTTTAACAGCTTCTTCTTCTTCTGCACTTCTAATTCAATTTCTACATAAAAGTCTGGCTTCAGTTTTAGTTCTTGACTACTTCATCTAGCCTAAAAACGTATGCAGCCCATTTACTTTCCATGCTGCTTTCACAAATAGTGCCAAAACTTTAGATATATATATATATTCATATATTTATAAAAATAACCATGAGATGAGATTATTTACAAGTTCAGATAGGAAATTTAAAGCTAGAAATATATTTATTTTTTTTAGCATCTCATTAGCATTCGATACGTATGATTCTGTTTTTTATGGGTATGGTAAAATTATATACATATACAATAGCTGTATTACCGTTATTAATACTTAAGTTCTGTGTCCCAATTAGAAATAAATTATTTTTCTAATATGCATAATTATCAAGATTTTATATGTTATTTAAGCATTTCAGACTTATTTAGCCATAGTTATGTTATGTACAAATCGCTGTTAATATTATGTGTGTATGTATGTATTACCAATTGTGTGTATTACCAATTAGTTGGCAATTCTGATAAGAAATCAAAACCAAATGCAAATGCAATAAATATAAAAATAAAACATGCTAGGCAAGGTCAAAAGCAGTTAAGAAATACAAAGAACAAAAAAACAGCAAACAGCAATTATAAATGTAGATAAATAAAAACAAATGATTGTTTAATCTTAACATTGTTTCTGCTGTCTTTTGTTGTTATTCGTAGGCAGCGCTATTTACGAGCTGTTAGTGCAATGTTATTAACAGGAGCTGCAAGGGAATGGCAATGGCAATGTCAGTTGAGAGAGCGAGCAACAAATAGATGTAGTGTAGTAGAGCGAGATAGCGAGATAGAGGGCGAGCGATGAGTATGTGTGTGTGGTGTGTTTTTGTTGTTGTTGCGGTGAGTATCAAAATTCTAGCCAAATGGTCAATTTTATTTGCATTACGCTTTGTACTTTTTTTTTTGTTTTGTTTTTAAGTAGTTTGGTTTGGTATACGTTTCTGGCGCCAAGACAAAACACAATAATGAACGATATTTGAATTGTTTTTTTTCTTTTCAGCTGCTGCTTGTTCTTTTGATTGTTTGGTTTTGATGCGTGCGAACTGAGAACGTTTACCTGCTGCGGCTGCTGCTGCTGCTGTAGTTGTAGCTGTTGTTGTTGCTGTGTTTGTTGTTGCTGCTGTTGCTGCTGATGCTGCTGCGCACGCGCCGCTGCATTCTGCAGCACAATGACAGACTCAGTCTTTTCGCGACGCGGACGCAGAAAATCTAAATTAGCCCAACTAGACTTTGTGGGCGCCGCCGCTGCTGCTGCTGGCTTTGTAGTTGTCGCTTTGGTCTTATTCGTTGCAGCGGCAGCGTTGTTCTCCTTGCTGCTGCTGATACTGCTGTTATAAATGCTGTTCCTTTGGTACATGGCACTGGCGCGTTGCGCTTGCACTAGCTGCGGCGACTGCAGCTGTGAAGTATTGCCGGTGTTGCTGCTGCTGCTGGCTGCGCTGCCACTGAGCACGGCCGAATGTCGTTTAGCTAACGGGAAAAAGTCTGAGTTCTCGCGTCGAAAGCCGCGCACAAAGCTCGGCAGCTTCGAGTCGGATTCCTGACGTTTGTGCTGCAGCTGCTGCGACGGTGGCTGCGGCTGCTGCTGCTGCGTTAAGTTGCTATTGCTGCTACGCTCTTTGGCAATGTTAACGCCAGCTGAGGAGCTGGCGCCTTTTAACGGCTGATAGCCTTTCGGCACTGGTCGAGCTATGGCCTCAGCGACGCTGGCGCGCTGCAGTTTCGCCTCCACTTTAAGCGTGCTCAGATTCGAGCTGCGGCTGAGGCTAGCTGTGGTGCTGCTGCTGCCGCTGCTGCTGCTAGCACCGCCGCCACCTCCGCCGCTAGCAGCGTTCGGTATTTTGGGAAAGAATCGATCAATGTCCCAATCGTGCAGAAGCTTTACGTCCTCGACTCGCCTCGGCGCATGCGAAGTGGAAGCGGATTTTTGTAAGCGATTTATGTTTTGTTCTAGTTTCTGTTTACAGTTGTTTATCATGTCGTTGTTGTTGTAGTTGTTGTGAGTACCAGCGCAAGAGAAGAATTGTTGTTAGGTTTTTGTTTTTGCTTTTGTTCACTTGCATTTTACATTTCTACAGGCTAAGTTTGGTTTTTGTTTTGACTATCTACACCCAGGTATGAAAAAAAACCGCATGGAAAGTTTTTCATGAATTCTCTCATTGCATTGCATTCCAAATACATGTATTTATGTACGAATGATATGATTGGGGCTTGCTTGTAGGTGCAAAGGTGTGTTTACATACATTTCATAATCATATCAAGTGCCGCTTGATGTGGAACCACTCGGAAATCATTTTTTATCGATTACCATTTATAAAGATTTTTTATATACAAAGTATATGTATGTGTGAAATAGGCTTTAGAGCTGGAAAACTATATTAGAAGAACTAGCAAGCAAATTGATACATCACAGATTAAGCAATATCTTATCGATTAATCAGAGGTATATAACAATGGATTATCGAAGTGTTATAAATTGTCGATCAAACACATATATATTCATGTGTTATCGATTAATAACAGCTATATTGGCTGTGTTATCGAGTATCGATTAACTATTCAATGTTCCAAAATCACAGATATCAATTTCATGTTAAATCACCTTGAAATAGCATGCATATATCGATAAACATATCGATATCGATTTTTTTGTAACTTAGTTCGATAATAATATAAATATGAGTTATTTCTGATTACTAGACCCGTTTTTATAGTTCTTTCAGTGAACAGCTATGGCATACATTCGTGATCGTTCAGTTTTCCAGCTCTTAAAGGTATGGATGGTGCCCGTGTAAACATTCTGAGCACCTGTGCGTTTCGCTTTATACAAAAATAATAAAAACAACTCAAAAAACATTCGAAATTCGATTGAAATTATGAAAGGCAAATTAAATGATATAGTTGTTGGAGCATAAGAACTTTGTACAAAAGAAATTCACGAAAAAAGTTTCATACCATGTTTTTTTTTTGTTTACGTAATATACTAATTTAAATAGATAAATATGTATTTAGTATTAGAAATAAGTAATTTTTTGTAAAGTTTAAACTAAATCTGAAATTAACTTTTTTCTTGGTTGGTTAAAAGAGTTAAATAGGAATTGCTGCTAAGAGTTGTCTAAGTAGAACCATAACCAGCCAAAACTTTGCACTAATATTAATATATAGATATTTATATAATTGTTTTTTTTTTTTGTTTTTTTTTTTTTTTTGGATTTGTTTTTTTGTCTTTTACAACTATGCAGACCCTCGACCCTAATTACAATTTTTACAGCTGCCTGGAACTAAGTTCTGCGTATCTCTCGATAGAAATATCTCAGGAAAATGAAAAATTGAACTAAAAACTAAACTAAAAGAAATATACACTAAAAAGAAACTAGTTACTATATATGTATATATAGTTTTTAGATTAGAGAGCAGATAATTGAGCATTTGGTTGGGCTTCGGACTTACGCGCTTCATGATCAGCGTTCGATCTCCGGCTTGATCGTCGTCATCCGGGGTCGGTGGCAAGGGCCGATTGGGCGGACCGCCGCTGCCATGGCTCAGCGGTGTGGTCGTTGTTGTTGTTGCTGTTGTCGTATCCTCGGAAACGGGTCCCAGGCCGGGTCTATATGAAAATTCGGGTCTGAGAACAAAACCAAAACCAAAACGAAAAAAAACAAAAACACAAAACACAAAAAACGGGGGCGGCAAAACAAAAAAAAAAGTTGTCGTGTCGTGAAAATCAATGTGAAAAGGTGGAACGTGAGGGTGTGGGTGTGTGGGTGGTTGGATGGTATTAAATAACGGTAATGGGTGAGAGTTAAGAATGTTGCGAATGTTAATGTTAAATTTTTGTCGAGAATTTATGCTAAAAATGGGAAAGTTAATTTCTATGGTTCTATTTGCAACTACTGACGAGGTCTGCTTAAAAAGTTTGCCAAATTCTTCGAATTCTCGCGAGTTAAGTGTATTCGATTTTCGATTCTTTCGTGAGCTTTTCCTCAGTTAAACTGAAGAGTTCAGCTATATTGAATATCCTTAATGTTTACTATAATATAAATCTAAAAGAAATAGTTAAATACAATTTATGGATCCCATGAACGTAAATTGCCAAAGAATCTATAAGAATCTAGAGTTGCCAGATAATTTACAAAATTTGTAGTATTTTTTTAAATCTTATTTAATTCACTTTCGAAACTAATTTTTATATAATTGATTCCATAGATGAGAATCTTTCGTGTCTTTCTAAAGTTGAAATTCCTACTACTATTTTGTCAGCGACAGAGTTGCCAGAGTATCTATGCAAATTGTATCTTTGTCACTGCTTGAGCTAAGGTCAACTGAAAGTTCTTTGACTTTGAACACATTTTTGTACTCTATAAAAACTGAAACATTCCGAAACACTTCTACTTCCCATAGACCCTTTTTACATAACGCAAATAGAACCTTTATAGAAACAATTTCCGCAACCCTCTATATATTTTCGTGCGCGTTTTGCAATTAAGATGCAAATGTGCAACAAAATATTACTGTTTGTTCTTCTATTTGTTGCATTGCAAATGTTGCCACGCCTGCCGTTTTGTGTCTTTTTTTAAAGGGATTTTGGCTACTTACAGCGGTTTGGGCGGATCGCTGGCCAGTAGTGTGCCGTCGTTGCGTGCCCGATCGTTGGGCTCGTCCGGTTCGCTGTCCGAGTCGCTGCTGTCGAGTGGATCCAAAGGATTTACCGGCTGACCGAGATGATTGTTCGACTGCGATGGCAATGCGGCTGCCGGCTTCGAGGACGACGATGACGACGATGAGGCTGAGACACAGATGGCTCCATTGCCAGCGCCCGATTGTCGATTGTTGCGTGGCGGCGCCTCCGGCTGTGCCAGCTGTTGTCCACCTGCTGCTGCTGTCTGTGGCTGCGGCTGTTGGGAGGAGACCACGCCCAATTCATTTAATTGTGCTGCTAACACATCCAAATGATCCTACAGGTATTTGTTTTTTTTTTCGTATTTTTTTTTTCATATTTTACAAAAGATTTTTTCGGGTCAAGTTTTTCGAATTCACACGGAGGATTTTTGTGTGTTGTGTTGTGTAGTGTATGTGTGGTGTGTAGTGTAGTGTGTGTGTGTGTGTGTTTGCACGTGGTACCCACAGTAATTGTTGTTGTTGTTGTTGTAGTTTGTTGTAACGGGAAACAAATGCATTTGTATTTTTTTTTGGGGGGGTGGAATGAAAAGTAAGAGAGCATTAGACTGGTTTACACCTTTCACTTCTTATATAGATAGATAATAAAAAACAACAAACAGTTCCAAACATTAGAGAAAGCTCGGTTAGTTATTCGTGTTCTTCTTTATGCTCGTTCACGAAGTGAAAAGAGTATATTGCTTAGTTGCAATGTCGTACACTCTTTGGTATCCTAGTCTTACTGTGTTTCCCTATAGTATACACTAGGTGCATGTTAAGTCGGACAAGTCTATATCTGGCATAACAAAAACTTTATTATTTAAGTTGCTAGAAACTTAAGATTTTTTATATAGAAGATATATCAAACCCTTGGAAGGCATCGTAAGTTGAAAAAATCTATGTTTACTTGAGTTTTAATATTAAAAATGTGATAATTGAGTTCCTATTGATCTTCTCTACTGATTTACCAAAATATACGCCTTTTTTGAGGCGTGTCAAATTGAAAATAACCAGAGTCTTTCACAGTCTTGCTCGAAGGTTTTACCAAATATTTTACTGCATATATACATGCTAAATAAAAAGAAAACTAGATTCCAAAGTTTTAGAGCTGGAAACTCAATTGCTTTAAAAAATATAAAAAATATGTACGCCTCTTTCTGGGCGTGCGAAACCAGAGAAAACAATATCTAGCAAAGTTTTCGATAGCTCCACTCTACTTAGTCAGTTTTACCTATGAACGTGAACGAGTATTACGCAGTCGGTAGCGCCCGACTGCAACATTCTTACTTGTTTTATCTACGAAACTGGCCGGGGTTAGTTTTATTTATTATCATAGTTTTTGGCATTACAAACGCATCAATCACCCCTCGTTTTGGGGGTTTCGGTTTGGTTAGTTGCATTTGGAAAATGGAAAGTGTTTTTCTTATTTGTTGTTGCTGCTGTTGTGGTTGTTGTTGTTTTACTGTGGATTAGTGGGCACGTGCATGGGTTGGCTATATTTGATTATTTGTTTCAGTATTTTTGCTTTGTGTGTACCTCCGAAAAAAAATTTGTTTTTAGAATTTCGACAAAGAGAGCATTATGTATATACATGTAAAATACTGATAGAAAAACAAGCATAAAATACACAAATGAAAGACAGACACAGATAGAGAGAGAGAGAGAGAGAGAGAGAGGAGCGAGCGAGCAAGGCTACAAATGATAAATGATAGGAAAAACATACCTCAGGTCTCCTTGGTGGTAACTGTTGTATGATTGTCATGTGTAGTATTTATTTTGGTATTTTTTGTGTATTTTTTAGTGTTTGACAAATTATACGTTGGTTGACATACATATTACATTGAGTTGACGCAACGGGATGATGTACACACACACACACATACACACGCATGAGCGAAATCATAAGTTCGATTTGTGTATAGTTTATATAGATATATATATGTGTATATATGCATATATGTTATATGGTAGGCGCACAAAACATGAAAATAAAAGAAGTTCAGAAATCATATCGTAAATATACAATCGTACAATTGGATTTTACAGGGTTAAATCATAAATGAGCTGCGGTTCAACGGGGGTTTACGAATGAGCTGTAAGCGCAATTGGGCGGGTTTAGAAGTGGGGGCTATGATACGCAGAAGAGTTAGCTAACTATTTAAAACTTATAAAATTAAAGATAATTGTAAACATTCGCATTGGACCTGGCTGAGATAAGATCTAGTCTATTTAGTCTTTAGTTGTTATACAAATTGCAGTTCTATATAGAATATATAATGAATTTGCACTTGCTTTTGACATTTGCTTACAACTTTACAGGAGAAAGAATCGAATCGTAGCGAAAATATATATAAAAAGTGATTTCAAAATTAATTTAAAGATTTGTTTTCACTCAATTCATGAGCATAGAATCCAATTACATGCAACAAAGCTTACAGAAAATTGATCTACATAGCAAACAATCTCCTTCCACCTGCTCTACGTTAGCTAATCTTTGACATTTTCATATACTGCTGACCTTTTCTAGGCATAGCTTTTATCTATCAACTGCTCTAGCTTATGTCCAGCTAGCTAAGATTTCCACAAGGCTTATCTAACCAGTGGGACTGCACTGCCTGCCACACAGGCTCGCAGTCTCTGCTTATTGTGTATACGCACCGATGGCTTGAAATTGTTCTGAGAGTTGCGCTGCTGCTGCTGGGGCGGCGTTTGTGCCGCTGGCTCACCGCACTTGGGCGTCGGTGGCAATGGTCGATTGGCATGCGGTGGATCTGGCACCACAATCAGGCGCTGCGGCAATTGTGGACGTGCCGGCGGACCAGGATCCTCAATCTGTTGGCGCTGCAAGTGTTTAGAGGAGTGAGCTTAGGATTTGCAGCTGGATGTACAACACTAACCGATGTTGGTTTCTGTTGCCGATTGGCCTGTGGCTGTTGAGCCTGCGCCTGCTGCTGCTGCTGTGCCACCTGCGCCTGCTGGGCTGCATGCGCTGCTGCTGCTGCTGCGGCTGCAGCTTGTTGCTGCTGATGCAGTTGGGCCTGGGCGGCGGCATGGGCAGCGGCCTGGGCCTGGGCGAGCAGCTGATGATGCTGCTGCTGCTGTTGCTGTTCGGCGGCCATGCGTCCCTCTTGGATTTGTTGGAAGTTGCGACGCAGGGTATCGCCACCCGGCGCCTGGATAATGGAGCTGGGCTCACCGGCCAGCTGTGGCTCGTCGTCATCGTTGTCCGAGCCCGAGTAGCGATAATCTTCGCGCTCCTTCTCCTGCTTGCGCTTCTTGCAGCGATCGATGTGATCCTTCAGCTGAATGCGCACCTGTCGATCCGTTGGCTGATCCTTAATGAAGGCATGCTTCAGCAGATTCTCGGTATAAGGCCGCTGGTGATAGTCCTTAACTGTGAATGCAATACATCGATAAACATATGACAACAGGAATATCAGCTCAGCTATGCTGCCTCACCTAGCACCGTGTCAATGAAGCCCTGAAACTTCTTGGACCATTTCTTCGATTTGAGACGCGGTGGCGAGTTGCGCGGTATCAAGAATAGCGCACGCATTGGATGCAAGTCGCAGAGCGGCGGCTGTGACTCAGCCATTTCCAGAGCTGTGATGCCCAAAGACCACAAATCTGAACGATTGTCGTATGTGGCCTCTGGATTCTCATCACAGGCAATGACCTCCGGTGCCATCCAGTAGGGCGTACCTGTTTCACAAGAAGAAAAACGACAAGTTTAGTCTGTGACTCATGCCTCGATGAGGTGGATTTGCTTACCAATGAATGTATTGCGCCTGCCTATCGTACGATCCAGCTGCGCAGAGACACCAAAGTCAACCAGTTTAACCTCGGCATTATCAGTGAGCAACACGTTTTGGCCCTTGATGTCGCGATGAATGACTTTGTTCGAATGCAAATAGCTAAGGCCGCGCAATATTTCGCGGCATATGTACGCGATCCACTCCTCCTTGAGGCTTTGACCCTTTGTGGACTTGACCAGATCGGTGACAGAGCCAGCGCCGCAGTATTCCATAACCAGCCAGAGCTGGTCATCTTTACCGGGCGGCGATTTCTTAATGAATGCACCATAGTAGGTGGCAATGTTGCGATGATTTGAGTATTTCTTAAGCACATTGATCTCAAGCTTTATCTCCTCCTCCTCATCTTCGGTGACATCCATCACCTTTATGGCAGCCAACTGACCAGTTTTTGTATGACGGCCCTATGCATAGAGAGAGCAGAAAAGCGTAGAGTTTATTATATAAATATATTAATTGCAAATTGTTTTTTTTTTCTTTCTTTTCTTTCTTTATCAGTTTACATCGGTGTGGGTTAAAATACGACCTTGACGCTGTCTCACATAGTCACATAGACACTTGAACTCGACTCGACTGGCTGCATACTTGACTTGAACAGCGCGAATTTCGCTGACCATGGGCGAAGACGTTGACGACGTCAATAAAATGCGTCATAAAGTACAAATTCTTGAAGTAAACAAGCTTGAAATGCACTTCTCGAGCACCAGCAATGGGCAGCAGTTTGTCTGCTATTTAAGCAATTATTCAGTTATACATCAATTTGAATTATAATCTAAGTAATTATATAATATATATATCAATTTGACCTGAAGACTAGAGAACGTCGTAGTTTACGTACTTTAAACTGAGCTATAACTGGGAATTCATTAGAGTTTCATATTCTGTAAATATTATATAGATATATCATATTATCAAATGCAAAAATATGAATTTATAATCTTCAAAAAAAATCTGGGTTTTTATAAATTCTACTTGAAAAGTTCTAGAAACTAACCTCAGCTCGTTATGATGCCATGATTTAAGATAGTTTTTAACTATATTTTAAATCAATAGCTTTTGAATTTATAGCTCTTCTTTAAACATAGATGTAAACTACTTTTTGCTTTAACTTTTTCCAAGCTCGTTAAGCTTTAGCTTAAATTGAAATATAACGTGACTTGCAAACTGTTTATGCGCATCAGTCAAGCGCCGTCAGTCAGTCAATCAAGGCGTAAAAATGTATTTCAATTAGCTGTCGCTTTAATCAGAGTCATAAATTGATTTGCCGTTTAAAATTGAGTTGTTCGCTAACCAGTTTTTGGCCCACTTCACTGGGCCAACTGGACTCATCCTCGTTTTTCTCATACTCGCTTTAAAGTCACTTTGCATTTAATAGAGTTTTAATTGAAGCTCCGAGAGCAGCTGTGCCAGGGTCCACTCTCTATCCATAATAAATCAAGCGCCTAACGAGAGGAGATAATAATTTAGAAGAGGAAGATGCCGATGATGAAGAGGAAGCAACAGCAGCAGCAGAAGCTGTTGATAGTTGGTTTTATTGATTAGCCAGCGGGGCGTTTGCTTTGGCAGTTTCTATCAAAATGCTATTAGACAACAAATTTCAAAAGTCAAAAGTTGGAAAATCTTTTTCCAGCAATTTTCTTATATTCTAACGGTTGTGTGTGCAGAGCCGAGTCAAATTAATGACATGCACTAATGGAGTTGAAAACTGTTCAGGAGTGAAAATCGATTGGCTATAGATTGGCCAAGCTGCCAAAGCGAAGCAGGTGCAACCAGTTTATGCCGCATCCAGTATCGAGTATCCAGTATCCAGTTGCCAATGGCCAATTGCAAAGAATTCAAGCGAATTTTTATAAGCTACGATTGCCGCAATGTGAAATACAAGGAAACCTCAATAAAGGAACGTTGTAGCCGGGTGTTATCGACAGCATAATACCCGTTTGCGATTTAGAAATAGCAAACAATTTTTATAGAACTGATGTTCTCTGATTTGGGACATCCTAAGTTTAAATGTCACATCAAATTGTTTAATTTTTTGCGGCGCTATCTTGGCCCTCATATCGACGTTTAGGGGGATATAGACGTCAAGGAAGGCGGAACTGAACTATATATATAAGTTTGACAATTTTCTTTTGGTATATATCTTTTAATTATTGAAATCTGAAGAATATATAGGCTTATATAATCATTCTCAATAGTAAAATCTATTATATACAGAAACCTAATCACATTCTTGCCAAATATACTCGCAACACTTCATGAACGAGCATAAAAAATAATAAAATTTATGAATCACTCGCAGAAGTTGTCGCAAATAGAGCTAAACAATTCAAGAAGAAGCAACTGAAAATAAATAAATAAATAAACGTACAATAAACAAAGGCAAATAAATAAATAAAAAACTGCTGAATGCGACAAAAATATATAAAGGAAAAATATGATGATGATGAAAAGCAAAGCCAAAAGCAAAGGCAAAGCCAAAGCCGAACCTAAAACCGAAACCAAAACCAAAACCAAAACGAGTTAAAAACGTTTTTTAAAGGTAAAGTCAACAATGGATTGGCAGCTGTTCGCCAATGGTTTGCCTACCTAGGCACAAGTATTCAGTTTCAGCACAAGTATCTGACTAATACACACAGAGGCATCAACAGCGACTCGAATTGGATGAAAATCGAAATAAAAAAGTGAAGAATGAAGAATGAAGCGAAAGAAAAAGCAAAACAAAACAACAAAAAACACGCACATTGCACATTTCTTGTAAAAAGATACAGATACATTTGCATTTACAGCAGATACATATAAAGATATGAATATATATGTATATATATATATATATTAAACTGCATAATCAGACAATTACGTGCTGTCATAACGTGATTTCATATGACAAACTTTTTGACTGCTTCGCTCATGTAATAAAGTCTCTGAATTACTTTATTTGCCCAAGCCCAATGCCGCTGTCTCAATAAGTCAACAAAGCGAGAGAGAGAGAGAGAGAGAGAGAGTCAAGAATTGTATTTTATATAAAGTATATGCAAGTTCTTCACAGTGTATTTTGGCAAATTCTTATTTGATAAAGCGCAAAAACTTTTGCAAACCAAATTGAAAGAAAAAAAACTTGCAAATGTATGCCCCACGCCCCTTGCTTCCCGTCCACCGCCCCCTCTTTGCACACATGGCACGAAAAATGACTAAAAAAAATTAGTTTGAACATATTTGACTCGACGTTGAGTTTCAGTTTCAGTTTGAGTTCTATGCAAATGGGAAAACGCCCTGAAAATTGGAAAATGGAAAACGTTGAGCCATGTGCAATAAACTAAAGTGATTTTTTGTGTGTAAATGAGCAAATAGAATTTGGGAAAATGGAAATTAATTTGAGCAGGCAAAAGAAAACAAGGAAAAAAAAAAACAAATAAAGCTAAAAGATGCTCAGGCAAAGTTAGAGGGGCAAAAACCTTTGCTATAAATGTGAAAGTTTAATCAACAATGCGACTATAGACAGTTATATATAAGCTAGTTGTGAATGCTATTTATAGCGATTATTTAAATAATTGAGGCCAGCTAATAAGACAAAGAAATGCCTTTAAAGAGCTGTGAACAAATTTATTGGAATTCATGTATTTAAATATGAAACAAATATACTAAAGAATATGAACTGTATCTGTATCTGTAAATGTATCTGCATCTCTATCTGTAGCTTCAAGAGTTGTATCTGCAACAATGCGTGTTGTATAATAGAAAATGCCGCAAAAGGCAGCTGAAGCCGGCAGTAGATCAAAGTGGAAGCAGCAGCAGCAGCAGCAGCTTCAGCAACCACATTAAACCACTCCATTTCACACCACACACACAGGCACTCAGTCACACCTCTACTCCACCTTGCTCATTGAGCTTGCATATTAAACAATGTTAATATATATAACTATCTACATACATATGGAGCACAGTTAGATCTAGTTGCACCCACTCCAGTGCAAACCACAAATTCAATTCAAAGTGGAGGCAGCAGCAGACACAGCCACAGCAGCACCTGTGCTACGAGGACCGGGAAACCACGCAGCACGCAGCACGCACCGCGCCCCGTGCGATGCGTCAAGTGGATTTTTGCCTGCTCGATTGGCTGTGGGCTGATGTTGCCTCTGCTGCTGCTGCAATTGCTTGTCCCAGTGGCCCACAGAATTAATCTCTCGTCTCTGTCTCTGGCAGCTGTTGCGTTTGCTCAGCATTGCGCAAGCTTTTAGTGAACAGCTTCCCTTGGCAGCTCCAGCTCTTTGCCCTCGCTTGACTCGCTTCGTTCGACAATCGTGTGCAAATTTGTTGTGTGGCTCCAAATTCCAAATAAATGGGAATTCAAGTCAAAGGCAGGGCATGCACGACTAGCAAATACCCCGCTGAGTAAATAAAAACTTAGGTCAAGAGGTGGGAGAGCCACAGCTAAGATATTTGTGAATCTAATGGCGTTCTAGGTATACAGATATATCTGTGGGGCTCTTATATACATTAGAAGTCAAGTGATGTCAAGGCAAACACGACTAGAGAATACTTTGCTTACTAAGTGTAAGCTTGGGTCAGGAGTTGAGAGAAGTTGGGCTACGATTTGCGTACAGTTTCATGTGAATCTTTGCATAAAGAGATATTTATATAAGAAATCAAAGCATAAGCCCAGGCATTACCGACTAACAAATACCTTGCCCATGAAGATGAAATGCATGAGATGTAAAATAAAGAGACTATTCTTAGCACTATAAAGTGTAGACATATATAAGCATCTATAGATGGCAAATCATTACATGGAAATAGATGTGGAGGCAGGATCTAAAAGCTTTAAATGAATACTATTAATTCATTTCATTTAAGTTCAAATTACATTGAAAATAAATTTCAACAAGCTACAAAACTCCATCTCCACAATTAACTCAAATGACACTTAATTCCTGAACACTCAAATAAAAAATTGAAATTGAAATTTAAAATGAATTATGACAAACTGAGTTCTAATATGAATAGCACCCATATAGCAACTTAAGGCAGGGTATAACCACACCAGAGAGTCATAAAAAACGCGTTAAGGTGATTATACACAATTGTCCAACGAGCAGGGGGAGCGCGAGGGGGCTCGACTGTGTGTACGGCGCATCAATTACCAATTGTTGTTGCTGTTGCTGCTGCTGTTAGTTAATTAACCCAGAAATCAAAGTAGTTTTTCAAACTGCACTTAAATGGCCGCAACAATTGAACTTTGTTGTGCAGTGTAGCCAGCCACGCCCCCGCGTCTCGCTTCCCCTCAAGCTAGTGGTGCAATGCGTGCAGCTGGCACATAAAATCGCAATTTAGAAGAAAAAAAACAAACAAAAAAGGAAAACAATAAAATGTTTAAACTATGCATAAAATAACTTGAAAAGCTAAACGA